AGAACGCCCACCCCCACCCCACGATGCCCACCCGGGAGGATTCGCCCCACCCCGTCTCGCAAGGATGCCCGCCCTAGGAGATCCTCCCTCCCGAAAATGTCCCCAGAGGCTGCCCGCCCCCCAGAGGACCGTCTCCCGGAAGATGAACCGGGTACCTCGGAAGGATGTCTTCCGGATGATGTTCTCCCAGCAGGATTCTCTCCCCGGAGGACGCCTGCCCCGCAGATAATCCCCCCTTCCAAGAATATTTCTGTCCCCCAAGAGAAATCCCCCCAGAGGATGTCCCCATCAGAAGAATGGCCCCTGGAGGATAACCCCTGGAGGGGCCACAGGTCCACAGGGGCCTCTCTCCCTAAGCTGAGTTTGTGGGGGTCCCTGTCCTTTTGCTGCGGGCCGGGGGCCTTACTCAGCTCCTGGAAGCTGCTGGCGGACCCCTGTCCCTCCACAGGCAGTGCAAAGCATGTCTGTTTTCTTTTCGAAGCCACCAGGGGAGTCTTTCTCTCTAGGGTGCCGAGTCTTATATAACCAAGATGACATGGGCAAGCTGTCATCTTCTCTCGCCATCTTCTCTCAGTTGTAAGAAGGCACTTAGGGGAGAGGAGCACACGAAGCCTGGGCCACCAGGAGGGTCACCCTGGGGACGGTTCAACACAGCTGATGCCAGCCCGGTGCCTCCTCAGGGCCGTCTCTCTAAGTACTGGCAGATCTGGGGCAGCACACAGTCACTTTCAGCTGCCGTTTCCCAGCACCGCGGGCCCCTTGCTCATCCACCTTTGACATCTGCTGGTGATACATGGCAAAGTTGGTGACCTCTTGGAATACAAATCAGGAGTGACCACCCCAGATAAACTTCTTCTGTAACTACTATACCACTTCATTTCAAAAAATTTAGGTAAAACTAAATCTGGAGTTTGGACTTGGCCATGAGGATAGCTTCCGGCAGAGTTGTCGCTGGAATGATGGTGGTGGACAGGTGGAGCGGGCCCCAGCCCAGCCCCCAGGGGACACTGCCATCTCCTAGCCCTGCAGGCCCACTGGCAGGCCTCAGGCTACCTGGACCTGGGAACTGGTGACATTCCTTGTACTATGTGCCAGGGACAGCCGTGAACGGAAGTGTTCCAATCCTGGTCACAAGGACAGGTTAAGGACTCTCTGGGCGCTGGGCCCTAATCTTTGCTGAGCTGTTGACCGTTGTTAGCAGGTGCTAACTGGTGTTAGTGGTTGGAACCTGTGGACATACATCTCCCTTTCTTAAAACGACAGTAGTGATTCCCCGAAGTTTTGGGGCTCTGGACATTTCTGCAAATCAACTTACTGCAGTGGCCAGGGCAGGTTTCCCAGGGAGACTGAGTGAGCTGCCTGACCTTCTTGTTAGATGCTTTACAGCTGGGATCTGCTTACAGCATCAGAATAGATGGTGGGGTGGGGGTGGGGAGGCTCTGATGGGGACGTTGATGGGTGCTGGGTGGTTGTATAGGGTTTGGATGATCTGAGACTTGGGTGGGCAGGCCGCTCCCTCCACTGCCCCCAGAAAACAGAAAGACAAGCCTACTGGGTGCTGACAACATTGTTCCAAGGGGGCAGCATTCCTGCTGCTGCCTACTGTTGGCAGGATATAGAACCACTTCCCTAAAAAGAGTATTAAGGGACATTGCCCAACTTGTGTTTTACAAATACCACCACACTGAATTGCTTCTTTACAAATATCACCACACCAAATTTCTTCTTTAGTTGCTTTTGTGTCGTGTATGTGTGTGTGTGTGTGTGCGCGCGTGCGTGCGTGCAGAGCTCATTTCGGGGGCATGCTAATCCAAGAAGTGCAGGAGCTGCTGCAGGGGACTGTGCAACAGTATTGCTTCTTCAGAGCGTCCTCTGCAGTTCAGTGACGTCCTGTATGGCTCGGCATTCCAGAAGGGTTTGCTGTTGAGGCTGGGGAAAGGGGCTCTCTTTCTCTGTCACTTTCTCTCTCTCTCTCTCTCCCCCGCTCCCTCCCTCCCTCCCTCCCTGTCACACACACACACACACACACACACAGCTCCCAGGCACCCACGAAGGGCAATGGTCTCTGTACATGCAGTAGGTGATGTGCCTGGAGCAGGCGTTGCTCACAGCTAAGGAGCCCAGCAGAATTTTGTGTGGCTCAGGGCTTGGATTTCAGCCTTCATATCTTCTCCAGGTAAGACCAGTGGCAGCCACGTGATTTGGCCCAAGCATGCCCTGTCCTCAATCAACCAGCCAAGCAGGGAGCCTGGCTGCCAGTGCCCTGCCGCTCAGTATTTATTCGCTGCTATTTGGGGAGCAGCAGAGCCCAACTGCCTTTCCCAGTCACCCCTGGGTCGCCCTGGGTGGGGCAGGCAGGGGAGTTCAGATCACTCCCACTCTCAGGCTTCACTGAGTCCCCACCCCAGCTGCCAGCCATAGAGAAAATGTCTCTGAGGCAGCAGGTGCTCTCGGGCCCTGGGTGTCCCAGGCACAGAGCCGCTGCTGAGGCTTCCAGGCTCAACATCAGCGGCGGCTTCTGACTCATTCAGATCTTGTCCTGAGCGCGCACTGTGCCATGTCTCGCCTCTACAGCAGCAGGCACCTGAGCGTCGGTGCACGGGTCAGCCTCATGCCAGCTCCGTTTTCCTTTTCAGATTTGTGTTCAGTCTGCACCTTCTACATGACATGGTGGAGTATGCATTACATAAAGCCCCCAGGTTAGAGACAGGACCCCTAGGGCCAGGAGGGGGTAAGTACAGCGCTGACCAGGACTGGAGGCCATGTCGCCCTTGCCCCAACACTCGTGAATTTGACGTAGTCATCCCACCTGCCAGCAGAACATGAACGGGGCCTCCCCACAAGGAAGCCTGGAAGTCCCTGTGAATCCATAAGGGCTGCATGGCTCCTGACTTCAACCAGTCAGCCTCTCGTCCAGAAGGGGAGGCCCGGGGTGGGGGGCATGTTGCTTGCCTGCCCAGTGGGCTTACTCTGTGGGCTCTCGCTTTCTCCTGAAAGTGCAGCAAAATGTTACAGTAATCGAGATAAGGCAGATTTATTAACAAGTCTTTCCCAGCACAATCTCAGGTCACCCAAGATGCAGTTTCAGATGGAGGTTTACAACGGTGAGCCTGGGTGGAGAGTAGGACTCCTTCTGGCCATCCCGTGACACCCTGTGTTAGCGTTTGTCCCCCTTTCCCCTGCTGCTTCTGGAGTACCTAGAAGCCACACTGCTGTCCCAGATCGAGACTCCAGGACAGGACCTGGCACAAAGCCCTGAGGCTGACCTCACAGGAGAGATCGGACGGGCAAGGGGGCACACTTGGGCAGCAAAGGGAGACCCCACCCTTCCCTGGCTGCACGGCTGAGTATTTGGGGTGTGAGTGGAGGAATGCCAGGCAGGTTCAGTCCTTCGGTCTAGGCGTGTGGGGCCCTCCAGGTGCCTGCTCTCTGTGGCAGGCTGTTACAGCAGGGCTGTGGATTTGTCCCGGCTCTATAGAAAAGGGACCCACAGGGTCCCCCAGGCAGCTGCTCTACCCTCGGAGTGCAGCTTGGGCAGGCCATAGACCAGCAGCTTCCCTGGGCTCTTCTGCCCCAGAAGCAACAGCGGGTTTGGTGCAGACCAGCACCAGGTGCCACACGGGGCGATCACACCACGGGATTCCTGGCTTTGCCTCTTTAGTGGGTGCCTTGTGATCTGCGTCATGGTGAGGAGGACTCCAGGGACAGACGGCCAGGGACATTCCCATGTGGAGGAGACTCCACTGGCAGAGAAGCAGCGTCAAGCTGAAGACGTTGGGGTGTGCTGACTGGCCAGGACAGCGCTCGTCCCCCTGTCCACACATGGAACACTGGACTTCCCTCTGCGGCCCAGCCAGCGGTCTCGTCTCACAGCCGCAGCTTTCAGCAGGAAGGAGCTCGCTGGTGCCTGCCTGACCTATCAGGGCCCACACCGTTTTGCCCTCCTAACATTTTGTATTTTAAGTGCTTGTCACAGTCCACAAAATAACCACTCAGAATCTGTTACTATTTTGTTTATACATTGTATCAAGTGAATGTTAACAAGTCATCTAAGTGTATGCTTTAGTTATAAATCTTGGAAAAATAAAAACTTCCTTTCGGAGGAAAAGTTAACTCACTTTGGTATGAAAATCACACAACTCCAGGTTGGATTTTTTTGTGCTTTAATGTTCGCAGTCACACAAAAGTGGTATCTCCATCAGCACTGGGGCGGCCACCTCCTCCTCATCAGCCCGACAGCTGCACGGTCCCGCCTCTCACCCATTTGGTCTGTTTGCAAGTTACTAGATCATACAAAAATAACCGCTACAAATTCTCTGTATCTGGCATATAAAAACTGAGCAAAAAGTATCTCTTAAAGCAAAACATCTCAGAAAAAATACAACACAGGTTTAACTTCTGCAGTACTTTGTTCATATAAAACACTAGTAAAATAGGCTTCTTAAAAATTAAATAGTGAAATACCAACCAAATTATATACATTGTTACAGTACAAGTGAATGAGGCAAAATATCCAGTTCTTAGTTCCCCAGGTGGAGGGGGGGCTGCCAGTGCGTGGCACGGAGGGGTGACAGGAAGGCCATGTTCTGATGTCACAGTCAGTGCAGAAACAGGCTTGCAGCGGGACAAACAGATGGAAAGAACTGAGTCACGCAGGGAAGACCAGTGGCTCCTTTGAGGAAGAGTGAGGTCATGTTTTTATTGCTTGCTAATCCGAGGTTTTCCCCTGGCCTGATGCCCCTCTAGGTAGCCTGGATCCCAAACGCTGCAGCCCATGTAGAGCTAATCCATGTCACCAAGCAGCCCCGGGGAAGCCACAGCTGCTCCAGAGAAGACAGAACGAGGCTTCAGAGCCCTCAACATCTGAGCTGGATTGATCCTGGTCTTTCAGGTCCATCAGGGTCCCACATGGTCCAACTGACACACGTTTCCCCACTGACGGCCACGTTCACCTGAGAGCCTGAGGGTGGGCAGTGTGGGCTCACAGCACTGGGGTGATACCACTGTGGCCTGGGGGGTGGCACTCAGACCCAGCCGACCCCGTCAGTGACCACAACTCTTCACCCGCTTCTCTGCTGCCGCCAGGACTGAGGGGTCTATGTGCGGCGCCGCTTGGCAGCGCTGGGACTGGAGGGGTTGCTGTTCGCGGTCAGGACTTTGTCGGTGACCCGGCTGCGCTTCCGCTTGTCTGCGCCTTCTTTGCACCCCAAGTCTGAGGAGTTCTTCTCTTTGTCTTTGCTGGATTTTTCTGTTGCTTTCCCCAAACTCCCTGAAGATGAAAAAACTGAGAAACGAAAAATCACTTGGCTGAAAACAGAATATCCAGAATCTTATTTTTGTCTTCCTGTTCAGTTAAAAAAATCTGCATATTGACACGTGATCCTCTGAACCCAAAGCTTCCTCCTGAGCTGGGAGCCCTTTGCATGTGGGCCTGCAGAGGGGCCTGGTCCTCCTGAGGACCTCCCTGCTGTGGGCACTGCAGGGACCACTGCTCAGACCCCAGCCTACAACATGGAGCCGAACTCAGCTCCTAGGGAGGGGGCACTGCAGGATCCATCCTGTGCCTAGATGTCCTGCCCGGGCCCTCTGCACCGCAGGCTCTACGCCCACCTGACTGTGCCCTGCCTGAGGGTGGCCTCAGGGTGCTGAGCCCCAAAGGGCATTAGGGCAGGGTGAGCGCCACACTCACCATCGTCAGCCCCATTGTGGGGGTCCACGTCTTCCTTCATCTCCTCTTTCATCTCCTCTTCTATCATCACTTTTCCTGTGGAGGAGACAGCTGACGCTCACCGAAAACCCACGGTGGTGGCCGACGCTGGGGGATGGTCAGGCCAGGGACTGCTCCGACGCTTGCTGCCCACACGGGCCTCAGCTTCCGTCCAGCCACTGCTCTCAAACAAAGTCCTCTCCAATCCCGGAGGTTCCAAGACCACCCAAGCACAGGTGGGGCGGGGTCTGCGCTGGACCCTCACACCTCCCTGGAGGCCCGGGGTCCTCATCCTCACCTCCCCGCCCTTGGCCAGGGTCTGGCCTTTTCTGATTCCCAAGCCCAACCTCTCCCGAGTCTCACCTTCTCGGACCTCCTGAATGATCTCTTCTGGAAGGACGAAGTTCCTCTCTGGATTCGGGAATGGAAGAATCTCAGACTCATGCTGATGTCGAATAGAGAGTTTTAAGAAACAAGGGTGAAGATGCGGTTTCAAGAAGCCGCTACAGCCATGTAAGAGCCACTTGGCGAGCAGCCAGTGAGCACACGTCACTGTGCTGGAGGCTGCAGTGGGCGGGGCATGGGCAAAGGGCATTTCTTCTTTTTGTGAACAGTGCCTGCTACAGCTGGGCTTGTCAGACAGACCCAGGGAGGGCAGAACCAGTGGAGACACGTGCAGGGGTCAGGAAGACCCACCGGGGCCGGCATCACTAAGGTGGGCCCTGAGGACCGGGTAGCCCTGGTGACACACACCTGTGGGCCCTGCCTGCCCACCACGACCTATGGTCTCACCAAGAGACTGCGTTCCCCAAGGCGGTGTGCAGAGGGCACGGTGACAGCCCTGGGGAAAGGCCGCAGGCGCCTCGAGTTCTCATCCACGTGGCAGGAACCCATGGACACTGAGGGTGTCAGTTGGGAGCGCCACAGGCACAGAACCAGGCAAGGAAGAAGAGCAGATGGAGCAGGGCCACTCGAGTGCTTGCCAGGCACTGCCCTCCTGAGGTCACACAGACCAGAGGGAGAGACCGGGAGCCAGGGAAAAGTGGAGCTGGCGGGAAGGGCCCTGGACTGGGAGGCGATTCAGGAGACAGGGGCTTCTACTCGGCAGTTTGGGTGCTGTATGGAACAGGCAGTCAGGCCACATTTGTGCTCCTCAAAATCTCCTGGGCCAGCTGGTCAGCCTCTCGGGGGTACTCCAGGGGCTCTGTATTTCCTAAGGTCTGAAAGACTCAGATCTCAGTCACACAGAAGTGTCATGGTCCAGAGAAAGTGCCAGCTTGTGGTCTTGCCCAGTCCTTACTGATGTCATAGGCCACTGCAGGAATAAGGAACAGGGCCACAATCCTAGGGCTGAAAGGCCTGGCGGTCCCACATGGCTTCCTGAGTGTCATGTGGGCTGCTGTGCTCATCTGAGCCAGCACTCATGCCCCAGGGGACATTATGGGCCTTGGAGCTGTTTGTCTTCCCCAGAGACAGGCATAGATTTGCACCGATCTCTCCAAATCCCGGTGTGGGAGGTGTCTGGGGACCTGGTGCCCTCTCCCACAACCAAGAAGCTGCTGGGAGTTTGGTGACAGGGGGCCTCTGACCCCGAGGGGTGGTGACCAGGGTTCAATGGCTGATGGATACGCTCTAGGGAGGAGCGGGTCCAGGAAGGACCTTGTGAGCTTAGTAGCCAGCTGTGTCTGGGCCACTAGGTACTGGCCACCCAGTGCAAATGCCGCACTGGCTCAGAACGTCCTCAACACACGACGCGGCAGCAACAGGGGCTTAAGCTTCCAGGGCATTTCTAGGGCTGAGCATCCTTCCTCTCCTCAGACAGCCAGGCCCCTGCACGGCTGGCATCTCTGTCCCCTTTCTACAGCTATGACAAGGAGACCCACATCACTCCACCAATGTCAACGGCAAGCATTCCTTGCCTCAGTGGTGCCCCTATGTCCTCCTGGAAGGGCTGGTGTGGCCCTGAGTCCAGCGTGGCTGGCACAGACTCTCTTTCCACCAGCACAGGTCCCCACTCCTCCTGGTCACCTGACCCCTGACCCCCACCCCATTCTCCAAGTACACCACCTTCTTTCAGCTCCTGGACCCACCACCTCCTGCTGCCACAGAGCCTGGAACACCCACCTGTCTCTTGTGGCCACCCTGCTTACCTAGTTAATGCGCTCACCCGTCACACACTGCCAGCTCCAAGCTCTGTGAGGACTGGGACTCTATTTGCCTGACTCCCACAGAAGCCACCAAATTCACCTTGGTGTGACTCAGATAGGGTCACCCTCTGCCTAAAGCACTTCTGGGGCATCCCAGGAGGCTGACAAGGGCCTAAGGGCCTGGGGCCTCTGCATCCTTCCCTCCCTCCCCAGGGTCTCAGCTGGAGGCTCTGGCCCAGCACCCAGTCTAAAGCAGGCCCCCTGAAAAGCTGGCCAGCTGCTAGCACTGTGTTTGTGCTTTCCATGACAGGCTCTGGAGCCCTGGGATGCCCTCCTTAAGGATGGGTCTCACTGCAGGGGGCTCTGCCCAGCGGACCCCAGCAGGCATGGAGGGGCCTCTGCTCCGCCCAGCGGACCCCAGCCTCTGCTCTGCCCAGCTCAGGCTGACCCTCAGCGGTGTGTGGGTTCGTGCCCCCATCGGGCAGCACAGGGAGGGCGGTTGGGCTCACCAGTGCCTGCATGTCGTACATGGTGCTCAGGTGGTCCCAGATGACCTTGGATGGGACCTGCCGCCCGATGTTCTGGCTGAACTTGTCCCGGATACAAATCATGTGGAAGTGTCGGTTCACACCTGGGGGAAGGAGGGGCGGCGGGACAACCGGTCAGAGGGGAGGAGAAAGGGGATGGAGGGGACAGGGTGCCCTGGGGACTGGAGGG